AATAAAATCCTAAATTTATATTTATAGGGTTTTTGAACATATTTATTGCAGCTTTTGTATTTTTATAATTACACTTATATAATTAATTTAATACATGCGATAAAAAAAGAAATCAGAATTATATTTAAAAATATGTATAATTATTTTGAAATATAATATTTTATATTATATACAATTGTGTGAACAATGTAATTTATTTTACAGTGGAAGTCAAGATGGTGCGTTATGCGGAAATTATCACCAGTAGCAGGTAAAGTCTCACGTTTGTTTTTAAACAACGCAATTGCTAACAATAGTCTTATTGTTTTATCGTTCATTTACCTTAAACGAGTTAATAATAATGTGTTTAATTAATGAGACTTTGATAAGATTGCGTTAATAGTATGCATATGCAGATTTATGTTGCATTATGGTTGCATTACATTGTAAGTGAAAGAAGGGAAATGAAGAGAGCAATGAGATAATAAACAGGAAACATTATACTCTCCTAAAACGTTTTTACATTTTGCTTCTACTATCATGTTGATACGAGCAGTATCGCAATTTGCATAATAGACCCCCTCTTATCTTTGCTATGTTGTCTACTTGGCAAACTGTGCAGAATGGATTATACTTGTTTTTACACGATATTCTTTGTTTTGGTTTTATGGTCGAGGAAATTTTTGAATTTACTACAGAATAAATATCGTTTTGACTCGTTATAAGTGTTTATAAAAGTGAATTATAACAGAATACTGTCATCAATTTTTTTCAGATAAACAAAATTGATTTAAAATTCATGCAATAAAATTATATTAATTGATTCCGTTTTATATGATATAGTAACACAACGTTGCGAATATACATATATTTATAATAAAACATATCACATTTTATAACAAAGTCTGGTTTCGTATAATTAAACTGATTAATTAACAGTTTCAATTTAAAATATTGTTGGCATAATGATTCCATCTGTTTGTAAAATTAACTCTGTAGCAGCTAGATGACCGATTTTTGTATTTCGTTACAAAATTGGTGAAATTTGTCATCAAAAAATTAATTAGTTCCACTTTTCATTCCCTATGAAGGACCCTTCCTGCTTGTTATCAGTACAAAGGACCCCACCTTTGGACCTTCCTAGGGTGACAGCTGACACATCTGTTGCTGCCTAAAGCAACAAAAAAGTTTCCAAGAACGGCTTTGCTCCTGGCAATAACCATTAATACATGATCCCTATGTAACTTGAGGGTATTTTTGAACTAAGAATTCAAGCACTTCATAAATTTTCCTTAGGCTGGACTTAACGAGGAAAACGTAAACATATGACGAAATTTATTTCGAGATATGTATCGTTAAATGTATCGTTAAATGTGTTTCTGTAAATGGGAATGCGTTTTTTATGTCTTTAATATTTACCAGGAAATAATATTGATTTTTTTAAAACGTTGAATTTATATATATTAATAAAAATATCAAACACTAGTTGTTTCATATGTATGTTTCATATATACACATTTCACATGAGAAAATTTTTGTGTAATTTATTTAAGAAAAGGAATGAACAAAAGAAATTTTATGCATCATTAAAATAGATGCAAAGTAAATGAATATTCTTTTTTTTATTAACAGATTGCTTGCATTTGCAACTTTATGGGGATAGTAAGGATCGTTACAAGCAAGGTCAAACAAAAGCGTCCCTAAGCTTGCAACACTTTTTGGGAGTGGAGAGTGGTTTCACACTTGACAAAGAATCCAATACGATTGCTATAATTTGCCAAGATGTGACAGTCGTTCTCGCATTTGATACGCGAGAGCGATTGATACAGTGGCAAGTTAAGATCTCGAATAATTTAGGTGAAGGTAAGCTATCGCGAAAGAAAGATAGCGAAAAGCATTATATATATTATAAAATACGCAGAATACTATGCAAAATTCTGAGATAAAAATTATTATCTTATATATTTAATTAGTTAATTTTTCTCGATAGATCAGCAATTCTTGATACTCATCTCCTCGGTACCATCAAAAGCGAAATTCACTAATGGGCCAGCGCATTTGCATATTCAGGACCGTCGTTTCTGCATCACCATCGGCGTGCCTCCTCGACTCGTCGGTATCTGGGAAATTGCGCATCTCCGACGATACGGTGTAGTCGAAGGCAGATTTTGTTTCGAGGGTGGTTCGAGATGCGGTCGGGGGGAGGGACTGCACGTTCTAATAACCGATCAAGGGGACGATATAGTCAGGACGTTGCATTTGGCAGCCGAGGGAAAGCTTACTACGAAGAAGCGATCGCCGCTTGGTAGAGAACTGTCGACGCAAGACAGCCCAGGGCGACGCCAGTGTTCTCGCGCCGAGACTAGAGCCAGCGATTTCTTCTCTTCGGTCGTATACTCAACGTCAACATATGAGGAACCCTGCGACAGCTGCAAGAATGAGAGCTCACCGTATTGGTCATCCGCGGAGAGTAGACAGCAGACGGAGCTTGACGGCGATTACAGCTGCAGAGACACGATGTCCATTTCAGAGTTACCTGATCAGCAGCCTGGTGGCGAGTGGCGTAGTTGTTCGCTCACTCGTCAAGGTGCAACGGGCCTCGAGAGATGCGCAAGTTGCATCAGTAAACTCGGTACTGTTTCGAAATCATCAACCTTAATCACCACGGCTACTATAAGCGGCATAAGTAGTCCCGCTGCGAGCACGTTGAACAATTTATGTCACTTACAACCCCGTACTTTCGACCGGCTTTCTTTGTCCTCCTACAGCAGCAGTAGTCATGAGAGCGATTATTCTAGCTCGCAACAAATCGAGTGCCAGTGTGGGCAGTCCAAAACCGCCCAGTCTCAGACGGCACAAACGACGACGACGGCTCGTCAAATGTCACCGAGCCCGAGCATGTTACCGCCGAGACCGCCGAAACCGTCCCAACCATCTTCACTGCCAACAACTAGCCAGTCCGTCATTGCCAAGAAACCTAAAAAACCACCAATGCCACTGCCTACCGAACAGCAAATCTGTGTGCACGCTCGAAAACAACCAACTCTGCAGACTCAGCAACAATCCCTACAATCTCAACAACAATCCCAACAACCCGTAGCACGCGGTACTGCGGGACCTTACGAGAACTATGACATTCCGAAAACGATTCTGGGACATCATATGCTATTGGAGCAAGGTCCGCAACCGGAACAGTATTACGATACACCAAGGAAAATAAAAGAATGTCTCACATTGCCGAAAACTTATCCTAATTACGATACACCTCAGGTGCCGCAGGCTGTGGTCCTGCAAGGATGTGGATGTCCTGCGAAACTCACAGTACAGTCACCTAGATCTTCGGGATGTCCTTGTCACAATGTTATGAGCTGGGCCGGCTTTGTTTTACCTTACTGCCGACGCGGTGCGGGAATTGAACCTACCGGTGTCACGGTTCATCCCGTAAAGCTTTCAGGTGAGGGCAAAATGCCAGTGGTAAATGCCAGTGGAGAAGTTGCCATTTATGCAACAGCCAAAAGAATAAATAAAAATGATTTAACTGACGAGAAAGTTACGGGGAACTGCGGCTGTGCCACGGAAAATAAATCGAACAATTACGAAAACGTTGAACCAGTAATAGACACGCAACCGGAAGCAAAGCAAGCGAATTATGTGAATATTGATTTTACTCAATCACTAGAACATTACGAGAATAGCAAGGATGTTTTAACGAAGAGTAGTATCTCGCAGGAAGAGATTGAGAAATTCGCGAATCAATTGAAAGAACCAGCACCCGAAGCGCCGAGTGACAATGCTTCGAAGATTTGCGAAAAATGCGGTCACGCGAAGGAAAAGGAAAACGATTATCTGGTCATGGATCCGGACAAACAAACTCCGAAGAAATCATTCCCCGCTTATTTACCGATGCAACCGGCTCACAACGCTTGTTCAAAGGAGATTTTGTCAAGACTTTGCAGTGGTATTAAGAGTTCCAGCAATCCGACATTATCGGGATCCACATTGCTCGAGGTGAATAAGAAACGTTCTGACTCGGAGTATCGGGTGCCAGGATCGGCAATGTTGTCCAGCCCGTACCTCAGGCGTCGTTTTCTGGACGTGGGTAATATTGAGTCCGGTGGTAGCATAGGTATACTTCTCAGGAAACGATCTTATTCTGCGGAATCCGCACATTACCTGGACGACGAGAGCCACACTTTTCCGTCCACGCTTACCATCCACAAGTGCTCGAGCGAAACGGATAAGAATTCTTTAATAACCGGCGAGTCGCATAACTCATGCAACTCTGAAAGCAAGATCAGTAGTAATCACGACAGTGGGCAGATATTGACAGTTGCGTCTCAGCCGTCGTTCATTAAGATCCGACGCTCATCGTCCGTACCATCCAAGACCGGGCATAATAGAGATTCTTCGAGCAGCAACGATTCTGGCGTCTCTACCGGTTCTCTGAGTCACCGAACAGCAGAGTTTGTGGAGTTTGAGTTATCATTGGCGGCACCCGCCGCCTCGGCAGTAAAGCAGAATATGTTATCTATCTGTAGCAAAAGCCCACCGCCCACATGCTATCACAGCAGCCTGCCGAGGAAGTCTAAATCCAGCGATCCTCTCCGTGAAATTTCCTTTCAGTTCCAGAAGATCAAGATACCAACGAAATCTTCATCCGCGGAGGCCGATATACCCACGTGTTTACCGAAGACCACGAAGGGCTTCAACAGCCCCGGTGAAGTTTCTAATGCACCTTATATCGACTCACGAAGTACTAGCAGCGGTACCTCCGACATGTCAGATTACATCGAAACTTTGTCGTTGTCTTCACACTCTTCGTCCGATACGCCTGACAGCCTTAGGTAGGTTCTTATATATAACTGCAACTCTTACAAAAGTTTTATTGTCTTATAACTTCTTAATTTATATACAACTCCATTAAAATACATAAAGTTATATAGAATGTTTTATAATTTCTGAAATATACAGAGTGCCCGGTAATTATTGATGAAGCGCATTGACGAAGCTGCAAATAGAGCAGACCAAAGACTGAAGAAAAAAGCTGTTTTGTGATTTTTGCAATAATTAATAAGAAATTAATTTATAAAAATTTGCTATTCAACTTGCATTCGCGCGATAAGAGATAGTTCAACGTTTACGATTGCTAGGCGAAACTTGGGAGGAGCAATTTGTAAGTAATAATGTGCCGCTCGCCTTGATTTTAATAAAGCGCTTCTCTTACTGCAACTTGCCGAGAAATTAGATGCTACAATTGATTAGCGGATATCTATATAAATATCTATAAAAATTAATTTCTCATTAATTATTGCGAAAATCGCAGACTTCTATTTAATTTTCGCTCTTATCTGCATATATAAGAAACTTTGTCAATAATTACACTTTGTATATTATTCTGAAATATATAATAAATTTTTGAATTTTATTTTCTATAAATTCTTTTTCGTATACAAATTCTATTGATTTATTTTTCAAAGTGAAAAACTTATTTATTTTAAAACTTTATTTTTTGTGACTGTGTAACTAAACAAAACAATCATGTATATATAGATTAGGAGGCAGAACGGTAGCAACGACTCTTCGACCTCGTAGCGGAAAGGAGTACTATAAGATTGATCGAAGTATCTTGGTGGAACAGGGACGGATTCTCACAACGGCATCTGCTAATTATGCAAATATCACTCCAGTGTTAGAAAAGAGCGAGTCGCCATCACCTGGTTATATGAGTAGTTCACCCTTTGAGCAACCACAACCTACTCGTGAGCATTTTCTATTCCCCGAAGTAAGTATATAAGAAAATAGATGTCTAAATTAATCTAGATATATGACATCAAATTCTGACAATAGTTTAAATATCTTGACATGGAAGAAACAATTAATGATTAGAAATGTTGTCTTACTCAGTAGTTTTTGGTGTATATTAATATCATATTTTTCTTTTTGCAGGAAGCTTGAATAATATTGTTTGGGAAAGAGAATTAAAAACTTCAAGTTCCTAGGAATTCCAAACAAAATGAGTAAGAATATTCACGGTAGAAATTATAATTGGGGCATTGTGACTATTTACACTATACGCGGATATCTGGGGTTACTTACAAGCACTCTTTCGAAATCATTAGATATATACCAATATATACGTAGTATAGTATGCCAAATAATCAAAAATTTATAATTCTTAAGAACACGAGAGCGCTCTTTAATCAGATTCGGACGTTCGTTTCATTGATGTTTTTGTAAAGTCTTCCTCTAAAGAGCACAATCATAATCTTAAAAAATGTAAAAAAAAGAAACATCAATCTATAAAAATCTAGGTACTAGCGTATAGTTGAAATAACGTCAGTAATCAAACACTTCCTACAACGACTCAAACAATTTCTAAAATATGCTCAATAAGAAACTAATAGTTTGTATAGTAAGAATCCTGCCCTAGGGTAAAAAGATATGCATCTTATACTTTATATGGGTATATCGTTTTTTAAATACTTTCTTATTTTGTATGAGTATTTCTATATAGACTATTGTACAGTCATCTTTGAAAAAATTGAGATTAATAACTCTTAGAATTTCAAATCAGATTCTTAAAATTTTATGCATCATTAAATTAAGATGTTTAGATCGTATCTCTTTTTGATTCTACAATTTGAAAAAACATTGAACGCTAGTTTATATCTCTTTTTAAACTTCAGGAACTCAAATTGGAGGCGTATAAAATAGGAATGGTTCCAATGTGACAACTTTGCAAAGCATTGAAAACATCACATTTGCAGTTGATTATCTGTTCTCTAAATAAAATTTTAAGAATTCATATTTGGAGAATATACCTTTAGAGACCATTTTTTTGTACTGATTGAAAAAAATATCTATCCACATTCTATACAACCAAAAAACATGCACTGAATGTAGTCAGTTGCATAACATTCACAGGGTTTTCATACTTAAAATTACTTTTTAAAGATTAAGATAAAATGTTACAGCCTTTAATGGTCTTCTTTCTAATGGGACAAACACGGTGTGCATAAATACCATAGTTTCTGGGCAATCAAAGACGATACTATATATAGATTATAAACAAGTATTTCTGAATAAGATTTACAAAATGTGTAAAGCTCGAGTTTCAAAACTTCGATAGTCATCAAAGAACATTTCCAATTTTTATTGCAACATATTTTTTAAAATCATTTATCTCTTACATTTTAAATATTTTTACTAAATCTTTTTGATATCATTTATTGTTGCATTGTACTTAATATAATTCATACTTAAATATTTAATTGTGATTAGTGTGTGCTAGACATACGTTTCCACAAAGCGTTTACCAAAAATTATTTATTCTAACGGTGCATATTCTATTTAATATATTAGGAACAAATAGATACTTATTAAATTAAGTAATATATTTACAACGATTATTTTAAGTCTAAAACTATATATGATATTCTATTTCTAATATCTTTCTTTAGAAATAAATGCATACATGAGCACATTTTATTTTGTGCTTTTTCTATTTTTATTTCTTTTTATTATTCTACTTTTACGAGAGGAGATTACAAATTTATGAGAAGGAATATAATTCATATGATATTGCACATACAGTAAATATATCATGCTGAGGAAGTTAGCATAATAGTGATATTAAAACGCAATAATAAAATCTTAGAGTTATACATAAGGCCGATATAATCAATGCACAGAATTCTGTTTTATATCTATTATACATTATTATATTACCTGGCAAGTAAATCAAACTAATATGTATGATAAAAATCATAGATGTTGCCATCAATAATCAATGCAGATTTATAAGCATTGAACTTGCGGGACAATACATATTGTATGTAAGATGTGTTATAGATTGCAACAGCATTAATAACTTTATATCATAAAACGATGTTTTTTGATGTTTAAAAGAATAGAAAAAAATTTAATTTTTATTTTCTTAGATATTAGATATTTCCAAGAATTTTTTATGTCATGCGAAGTTGTCTTGCTGTTGCATTCTTATCATATCTTGTTATATCATTCCTGAACTAACATATGGAATTGTTTTTCCATTAGGCCAAACTTTAACACATCATTGTTTTGTACACGAGAGAATATTTTTTATTTTTAAAACTTTATCCGCTTGTGTTCTATATGATACACTGTTATAATAGCATTAAATCCGTAAAGTCTATTGCAATATGCATTAATTTAGATTAAAGACATAATGTTCTTTCACAATGTGTAAAGATATACGTGCAACTGATTTTATAAAAGTATTAAAGAGTAGTATTATTACAAGACTGAGAAATAGTGGGGTAATGAATGGTAGGAAATATCTACAGCGCTAGAATGTATAATTTATATGTACAGGCCTATGCACAATTGAATTATTTGTGAAAATTTTTAGTTCCTCTGTATTGAGCATTTCACAGAAAAGTTAATATTATTGAACATGCAAATAAAATATTCTCTTTTGCTCTTTTTTTTTGCTTAAAGTGTATAGAAATTATACAATAGTTAATTGCATCAAATAGAGTAGAAATCTTAATGAAATACTGTATACAAAAGCGATTTATAGAAAGTGATACTAAGACACATTAAATTAAAACGAAGTTTGCGTATATCGGATAGATATTTTACGCAAATATAATGATACATAAAATAATTGAATTTATATTCCTCTTTATCTGGATTTCTACATCCCCAGGAGATTCATAAATTGTAATATCTTCAAAAAAATTTATAAGTTAGAAAATCATATACTATGATCTGCATGTATGTGTTCGCGTGCACAAACATAAAACAAAAGTGAAATTGCATGCATTTGAGCAGAAGAATCTATTGAGTGCGAAATTTTTTTACATATGTAATTTTATTGCATGACTGATTTTATTTCTTTTCTCTTGTTGATTTCCTATATATTTTTTAAATATCATTCGTATATTATACATATAAAATTATACATATTAAATATCATTCGTATAATATATGTATATACATATATGTATATACATATAAGTTAAAGTCAAATTTATATTTTAAAATTTTAAATTAATGATCAATTAACTTAAATATTTTTCTGTCTTAAGTATCATACGTGTGAAGTAGAAAATCACTCATATAAATACATGCTAGTCAGGAATCAAGTACTGTATTGTAGTCATTATATATTTTTACTGCAAAGAAATTGTATATTATACACAGCTTAAAAAGTAAGCACATGTTTACTAATTTATTTCATTCTTAGGATTATTTTTTAGTTTGAAAGAATTATGGACCAAGTATTCATTAATCTTAACGAAAATGAAGAGAAAAATATTATCATATATTTTATATTGATATATAACTTTCAGAAATAATAGTATAATAAGAGCAGATACTTAAGTTGAACCGAAACATTCGTCCTATTATACTTTTTTATATAATTGTTATTAACTAAATTTCGCACCAGCTCACAGTAATTCTATTTCCTATATATTGAACAAATTTTATTATTCTATTCCCTCTTATCACAAATCTGTCTTGATTATACAATACTAAAAAATTGCAACATTTTTATTGCTGTTTTTGTCTTGTGAGCGTTTCGTAGTTTTATTTAAAATAAACACGTCAAGTATATTTATAAAATATTTTACGTGAATATTTATAAAATAAATTACATGTGCTAGCT